ATAGAATCAAAAGGTCGTCCAGTGTTTCCAGGTTTGCCATGGTGGTCTAGCTTCAATTGACGCATGATCTAAACTATTAAAAAACTAATAATAAATGAATCTACTAAAAAAATTTCATAATATCATATATAAAAACAAAGTGAATTTCAATAGAATTGAAAGTTGTTTATTTTTCATTAAAAATGTGAAATCGTTGTGAAAACTGGACAATAAGAAAGATGGATGATAGCTAATAGTGGAATTCAAGACGCGAGATTCATCCTATGTCGGACGGAGTGAATATCAACTCTAGGATGCAAGTACATCCGGCTGACGAGTCCTAAAATAGGACGAAACAAGTGTCCTGCATCCCATTACTAGCCACCAATTTCTGCTTATAATGCTTGTAACTTAAGGTAATACCAAGGCGATTCGCCCAGGATGCATATATGTCAGTAACAGACTGATCAATCGCAATCCAAAATATGAATGGGAAATATCAAATAAACAATACAAAAATAAATTAAGACAATAAAAAGTCTTATTGAGATGAAAGATATTTGAGAAGATTATTCAATTTGAAGATTGCTTATAACAGAAATTGATCAAACGACTACTAAAAAAATGAGGGAACACTGGAAAATCATTCCATTCTATTGTAGGACTTTTCGATGATAACCTTGTTAAGCATTGATGGTACAACATCGTGTGTTTTGGGGGTTTATGCATTATTTGATTGAAATGATTGCAGTGGTTGAACTGACCCTTTTCTAAATACTAGATGAATACTTATTGAGACACTAAAACAACTATACAGTAAAGATACTTAATAATTAATCAAGTATGAATATATGAGTTAGAAAGCTAAAATCCCATTCATTTCTGCCTGTCAAATATCATCAGACACAAATTAATTTTCAAATGTAAATAATACCAATTAAGCGATCAAGATCATTTTCTGCCGATAAAAAATATGATCTTCACTTTTAAAAGCTTCAACGATGAAAACATACTTTAAAAGTAAAATTTAAAAAGCAATGACCAATGGAATTCAGTAGGGTCTGTTGTGAGATAGTAACTCATTGAAGACAATAGTGGATATGTCGCTCGATGTCGTGGATTGGTTGAAGTTAGACATTTAACACCGTTGGATGTCGGTTCAGTGATCTAGAGGTTAATCGTTCGTACGCGAGACTGATAGGTTCTGAATTCGAATCTCGTGGTGTGGGATAGTGGATGCACACTGCTGAGGAGTCCCACAATAAGACAAAACGGCCACCCAGTGCTTCCATGTTTTCAATAGTGGTCTGGTTTCAATTGACTGATGATCTCAACCATTAAAAATAATAAGTAGCTCAATTGGTCCGATATTCAATTTTTGATACTAGAACAACTGATAATTATGATAATTGGTGATTTTTTTTGTGTATTGATAAAAATTATGCCAGTAGTATAACTGGTGAATGTAATGTACAAAAGCCTTTAAGGATGTATACCAGTGTTTACTGAAGCCTTGGCTATACAGAAACTGAAACCCCCTTTATGCGTTCAAAAACAATTTGTCCTTACACTTAAACTACCCTGGTAATACTGATTTATTATTCAGAATGGCTATCACATTGTTTTGTATACTTTGTTACAGCTTACCTCTAATCTGTCTAGTTGACCTTTTTTAATTTTCATATATAAGCGTTCTTAACAAGTGTATGTGTGATCAGATTGTTCGGAATGTATTACGCTAATATATCATCACATAATTCTGATAAACTACGTCTTCTCATTGCATTATCCAAATGTAATATAACTGAATAAATTGAAATTTCCGAAAGCACAATTGCTATTTGATTTGATGAGCTAATTAAAATTCCTTCCTTATTGTTTCCATTCTTTTTTCTTTAGAATAATTGAGATTGTTTACACGAAAACTGAGTGTTCTAGTATCAAATTCTCAGGGATCGCAAGTGACAACATATATGAAATTTGGTCATGAGAATTGAAACAATCGAATTACTGATTGATGAGTAAATAATGACCCATGTTATTGTTTATTTAGTCTTTCAATGATGATCGAATTCTATCAACAGATCAGTAGTGATTGGAATAGTTCTATGGTTCCTCTATATTTGAGGCGATGACGAGTTCACCTAGTCTGAGAACAGAACAAAAACTCTGTGACCAAAGAGCAATAAGCTAGCTATTCCCATGTGTCCAAGTACAGCTAACTAGAAAAACAAGTCCAAGTTCGAGACGGGGAAATATATTCCGCAAGCAGCCAGAAGCATGAGCAGTCACAACAAGCACAAATCAAACGTATATATACAGCATAAAATTGTCTATGGGAAGCGTTACAAAACAGTATACTAAAAGTAACAACGAACCAATAGCGTTTAAGATTCTCCCAAGTGGGAAATACGACATGAAAGTGAAAATGGACGCTTTTGGCGCGAAAACAAGAAAATACAAAATATTAAAATAAAATTACAAAAATAAGGTGTTTACCAAGTGAGTTCTGAGGAAGTAACATCCCCAACAGTGGTAATAACTTACAATTTGAAGTTGAGTGATATGGGTTCGAATCCTATATGACTTGTTGAAAAACACATTAACTAGCATAAAACCTTAGTTTACTCAAAAGTATTCTATACAAAATAAAATTATAATAGATAATGTAATCGTCAAACTATTTAAAAAAGATAAAAACCATAGCAACTTTGATACAACTAATTATTGAACTTACTTTCATTAAATGAGATTAGTCGAAATGTTAATATAACTAATGATAATACTAAATGTCCACATAGTAATCCACCAAAATGCGTACAATGAAGACGAATCAACTATAGTTTTTAAACGAAAAAAAGGAGAGAAGAAATGAATGATGAAATGAAAATTTTATAATTTATTATTAAGTGTAACGCATCAAAACCATATAGAAACAATAATAAACTAATGCCAGTTCAGTGATCTAAAACCTAAGCGTTCACGTGCGACACTGATAGGTCTTGGGTTCAAATCTCGCAGGACGGGATCATGGATACGCACTGTTGAGGAGTCCCACAATAGAACGAAATGGCTATCCAGTACTTCCAGTTTTTCCATGATGGTCTGGCTTCCATTGATTGATGAATACACTTATTAAAATTACAAAAATCTCCACAAAACCCCCTTATGATAATAATCTCTTTAAATAAAAAATAAGTGATAAATACACAAGATATGAATAGGTTTGATGTGAATTGGTTTCAAATGTTGAGAAATGAGAACTTCTACACACACACACACACAATATGGAAAACAGATGTATTACATGAATATAAAGTACGGATCTGAATAGCTCAAAATTATGTCTCTGAAGAAAAAGAACATACAAATCAACAACTTAATGTGATTAAGAACATATAATACTTCTCTTTCAATCTATTAATATCTTTGATAAAGTTTGCAACAGACAAATCAAACGAGGGAAGATGTTCAAATCATCTTAATCACTGAAATATGTATCAAGATAGATTAAACATTGGTATATAATGTGTTAAGGTTTAAACTTTTATGTTGTTGATGATGACTAACTATCAATCATTCTTATATTGATAGATGTACATTTTGATTAGATTGTCTCAATATTAACATTTTGACACAGGTTCCATTTTGATAAATTGTTCCACTTCATATCGACAATGAGAATACTTAAGACTTGATGTTTATTAATTTCAGAAAGGCGTTTTGTGGAGATTTTAGTGATTTTAATAGTTGAATTCATGAGTCAATTAAAGATAGACGACCATGGAAGACCTGGAAGTACTGAACGGCTGTTTCGTCCTAATAGTATGAGACACCTCAACAGCGCGCATACATGATCGCGTCCCGCAAGATTCGAACCCAGATCCTATTGGTCACACGCGTGAATGCTTAAATTCAGTGGTTTATAATTTCATTGCCTATTGAACAAGTTAATAATTATTTGGATTTAGTAGATTAATGTAAAGTGCACTGTCGTTTAAAGCTAAAAAGCATTGAATATCAACACTATAATTCAGGTATATACAATTAGCTAAACCGAGTTAAATAAATATCCTGGATCAAACTGACAGACACAACTAAACTTTACTGAATATTTCCATTTAGTCATTATCAGGTCTCTAAATAAACGTTATACATATGTATGATTTGAAGTTCCTGTTGAAAGGATCCAAGAGAAATTCTCAAGTGAATATGACTATAATAATTAGTTTCAGTTACTTTGCCAAGATTCATTGTTACGTCCTTGATCTGTCTACCTACTTTTGGTGCTGAGGATAACTTGTCTAATCTAGATTAAGACCTTGATGCGATAAGTTGACCGGCTTAAACTTGAGTTCAAAGTAGGGTAGAGAGAAGAAAACTATTCTATCACCTGATTGGTTGACAAGCACACGAATGAGAGAAGACAGGATAACTGGAACACTACTCAATCTATTCTCGATTTCCTGATATCCGATTAGTGTAAAAAGGTACATGAATAAATAGGTGACTAACCCGACCAAAACGTACAATAATGAGGAAAAATACAATTATATTCAAAGCTCGGAATTAGAGTAGAAAATAGGGTGCAAAATATTATGTTTAAATGACAATAGCTTCGTAACAGAAAAGGGTGTAGCAATGAATCATACATCGAACAAAAGCTTATGTTCTATAGAATAGATTAAGCACGAAAATAAATGTCAGCGTTTTACAAGCTTTGCATAAAATCAAATAAAGTTCCGAAAAATAACTTTCATAGTTTGTCAGGGCTTCTTGTTTCTCTGTTCACATCATTCATAGAAACACATTTGAAAAAAGACAAACAAACAGACAATTTACGAAATTCAATACACAAAAGAAGAAAAAAATTTTTGAAAGAAAAAATAAAGAAAGAAAATTGATTAAAAATACTAATTTTATTAAATACTGACCAATCAGCAGCAGGTATTCTTTCTGCCTCAAGGTCATCTAATGAACCAATCACAATCGAGATGAAACGAAACTTTCATTTTCTAATCAACTAATGATAATGACTGCAGTATGTTGGTTCAACAATTAGCCAAAACAGTTAGTAATAGTATGAAGGAATTTATCAGGAAATCATTTTGAACAAATTATAGTAAGTTAAATTGATTTCAATCATTTAAAATGATGATTCTCATTGTTAGAAAGGAGGTTTTTTTCTTTTTGTGTGAATATTATTTGTCATTTTAATAGTTCAGTTCATGAATCAATTGAAGTTAGACCAACACATCAAAGGACGAGTATACTGCGCGGCAGTCCGTTCTGTTTTAATTTACGGCAGCGAAACATGGCCTTTAAGAGTAGAAGACACTCGTAAGCTACTAGTATTTGATCACAGATGCCTTAGAAATATTGCTGGCATCTACTGGGATCACCGGGTAAGTAATAGTGAGGTTAGACGCAGGGTATTGGGGAATGATGGTAAGTCAGTTGATGAGGTTGTGAATCTTCATCGACTGAGATGGTTGGGCCACGTGTTGCATATGTCTGAACACCGATTACCACATCGTGCAATGCTCACTAGTGTTGGACACGGTTGGAAGAAAATTAGAGGTGGCCAAACCGAAACGTGGCATCAGTGATTGAAGTCACTAACTTCTAGTTTTAGGCATGTTGGTAGATGCAGACTACTTGGTTGGGGTCTGCGTGACTATCGTAACCGATGGTTGGAGACTCTTGGTGACATGGCTCAGAATCGATCACAATGGCGTCGGTGTATACACTCCCTGTCTTCCCTTAAACTAAAAGATTAAAATCACTTCATTCTTTCTGTCTACGAACTAATTCTTTCTTCCTATACTATATCCTTATTGCAACCTTTGACCTAACCACTCCTATGAATCCGCTGTTCATCTTGCTGTGCTAATGAGGTATGGCAACCTGGACCGATGCATATATGTGTTTGGTCCTACGTTGTAGCTGACTGACTGATTGAACATATCATAGAAAACCTGGAAGTACTGAATGGCTGTTTCGTTAGAATGTAGGAACCTCCACAGAAATGTGTTTTAATATAACTAACTAATTAATTATATGAATGAGTTTGATTTTAAGTTAAACAAAACGAGATTATAATGAAATGGTTTCAGGTTTTCTGTAGGGATCTAGCTTCAATTGACTCAGAAATTCAACTATTAAAATTACTACAATCACCACAAAAAACCCCCTTTCTGATAAGAATTTATAAACTTTTTCGATTGTTATAAATTAATTACAAGTGAATATGATTATTAATTTTTTGAGAGTAAATTACCTCTTTAAGTCGATAATGTTTCGACGTATAACTTATATTTACAGTGTTTTTGAAATGGTGGAGAAGATTTATAGCTCAGGTGAATGATTCTGATGGAGTTTTGTTCTCTGAGTTGGATAGTTTGGTCGTGGAGCTTCAGATAGATCTGAAGTTTGTGCTGATAATGTCATTCAGAGGAACGATGAAAGCTCCACGATCAAACCATCCAGCTCAGTGAACAAAACTCCATCAAAATCTATATTGTTTGTTATATTTCTGAATTGTAGCTACAATTCAACACCAAAAACCATACCTGTTAAATAAGTCGGTTGCTTACATAACTCAGTAGTTTAGATAAATAATAAGTTTACGCTTGAACAGACAAACATTAGATTCGAGTATTAATGCAATAATGTAATGTAATGATACCCAATATATATTCAGTTGATAACTGGATTCCACTGCTATCTAATAACCAAAATTAAATTACTCCCTAATAAAAATGGTTCTTTGTAAGCTGATAGAAAAAGGTTTATAGTCTATAAGTAGGACATTGAAGGTATTGTATTGATTTGTCCTTATGTGAGTAAGTTAACATAAAAGGGTTCTTGTTACTAATCAATACGTATAAGTTAAATCTTGTAATAGAAAATGCATAGATTATTGAAACTCAATTCTTCTATCCATTATAGTTAGAAACATATTGAAGAAGTATCGAATGATTGTTACACCATTGTTTGAGACTTTAATCTCAGAGTTTTAATTAATTCTCTGTCTGATGTCATACTTGAATAAAAACAATAGTTAAATGATTCTAAATATACTCGAAATAACATAAATGAAGAATTTATAGGTTAGAATCTTAAATCATAGATTATTAGTGCTTAAGATAACTGATTTGAGCATCTGGTTACCTAAAAGATAGTCAGTCAGTCAGTCAGCTACAACGTAGGATCAGGCACATACATGCATCGGTCCAACTTGCCATACCTCATTAGCACAACAAGATGAACATGAAATTGATAGAAACAGTCACTTCAGTGGTAGTAATATATAAAAGAAAGATTGCTTATACAGTAAAGAAACAAAGAATAAGTTCGTAGAAAGAAAGATATGAAGCGATTTTAATCTCATAGTTTAAGGGAACACAAACAGTGTATATACCGACGCCATTATGATAGATTCTGAGCCTTGTGACCCAGTCTCCAACCATTGGTTACGACAGTCACGAGGACCCCAATCAAGTAGTCTGCATCTGCAACACCTCTAAAACTAGAAGTTAGTGACTTCAATCACTGATGCCACATTTTGGTTTGGCCACCTCTAATTTTCTTTCAACCGTGTCCAACACTAGTGAGCATTGCGCGTGGTGGTAATCAGTGTTCAGACATATGCAACACGTGGCCCAACCATCTCAGTCGATGAAGATTCACAACCTCATCAACTGATTCACCATCATTCCTTAATATCTAAAAGATAACTAACAAGTGAGTAATACTGAAATTAAAGACATAAAACAATACATAGAAATGATTATGATTAGTAGATAATTCTAAGTAGTATCCGCCAACTAAACATTTTGGCACATACTTCATTCTTAACTACTTACAGTCCAACTGAAAGTTTTAGCTAAATTTTGCGCCTCAGTTGTTCAGTTTTAAGATACATATACTCTTACATTACCACCTCAAAATTATCTACATTATTTTGGTCATTGTTTCTCCATTAGATAATATATATTCTATTCTTCAATCGATATGTTTGAGTTGAAAATATTGCGTCACCTCTCAGAACCGCCATTCATCCAACTACGTCAACATACCGATGAATCGGATAGAAGTACAAGCAATTCATTATCACGTGATCTTACGTTTAACACTGATCAAAAAGCTCAAATACTCACTATGCCAATCAGTTTATATCGTAGAAAATACCTTCAAAAAGTGAATCAATGGGTAAAAGATACTACTAACATTGACAATACTGCTGATAAAAATACTAATTATTTCAATAATACACAAGAAACAAGTCAATCAACAACTCATATTGTATCATCATCATCAACAACAACTAGATCCCGAAACTACTAACAATTTCATCAGTAGTTCTAATTATAACAATTATTCAAAGTATTATTTACTTAAAAGTAATCATCAACTTGAAATGATACAATCGATGAGTAATTCAACACATTTCTTCTTCACATTGGCTAGTCAAATACAACCTGGTAGTTATGATAAAAATGATTATCGTAAACCATTATGGACACATAGAGAACAAAGTAATGGGCAAAGAAAAGAAAAATTAAAACAAACACGAGAACTTAATAGAAAACAACAAACAAAAGGTAAACCGACATATATGTATATACTACTTAGATGGTATACAATATAAATTCCAATTCGCCTTATATACTCGTGATACAGAACCGAGGAAAAGGTTACCTTACAGTATTCGATCTCTAGACGTTAATCAACAGCTATGAGGTTTGATCATTTATGACGATCGAATTCTAGAAACAAGGTTTGCATTGAAAGATGCAACGTAGCGGTGCAGTTCATCTGATAATGGAATAGCTAGATATAATCACTAGGAACGTCTTTTTTATCTAAACATTGTGTTAATTGATTCCTGGTCAGCATGATTGATATAACATTGACTATTGATCATTGTGATCATTCGTGTGAGATGATTTTGTTTGCACAAAAAAACCAATCATAAAGTGAACAGTTCTCAATGATAAAGCCCCTGATACAGTCAGTCAGTCAGCTACAATGTAGAACCGATCACATATATGCATCGGTTCAACTTGCCATACCTCATTAGCACAACAAGATAAACAACAAATGCATAGTAGTTACTGCAACAGTAATAATATACAAAAGAAAGATTGCATATAAGGATATAATACAGATAGAACAAATTAGTTCGTAAAAAGAAAGATATAAATCCATTTTAATCTCGTAGTTTAAAGGAAGATAGAGAGTGTAAACACCTACGCCACTGTGATCAATTTTGAGCCATATCACCCAAAGTCTCTAACCATTGGTTATGATAGTTACGCGAACCCTAACCATGTAGTGTAGTCCTTCATACAGCCACTATACAACCTCATCTCGAATCTATATCACATTGTAAGTATGTTTTGTTTATCGAAGGTCAACTGACATTATATTATAACCCAAAACCGCTAACCAGTAGCAGTGGATTATCGATCGGACTAAGGACGCGTAAAACACGTGCAAGCAGTCTAGAATATTGATTGGCCCTGTTTTTACACCTAGCCCCAGCCAGTTAAGTCCGGAACACCAGTCTCAGCCTCTGTAATATGAATCCTTATATTTTAAACATACTGAGTTTATATACCAATCAAACAGACCACAACGTGCCAATAAAATATGAAACAATATTTGCACAAGATTTGGCCAAATGTGGCTGTGAATGTGGGAGGCAGTGACTAATAGACAGGGCATAATTCAAGAATGGTCAAACGTATAATAATGGTTCATAGTTCAAAATAAAGTTTATAATAAGAGGAACATGAATGTGGATAGTTTAGTTGTATAACAAATATACGATAAAAATATACACACACAGAGTATCGGTCCATAAATGGATCCCAAAGTTACCATTCATTATGTTTATCGGGACCTAACACATTGAAATCTAGATACAAAAATTCTAACATCTAAGTAAAACCCATGGATACCAATATTTTTCTTTTTGTTCAAAAGAAAAAACAACATCAAATATTCTTAATAAAAGTACATTGAATTCGATTGTAAATCAATTAATTAGTGTAAAAAATTATCTGTACTAATGAAGTAAACTATTTAAGTGAAATAATCCATTTTAGTAGTAGCTTTCAAAAGTACATCAATATTATATATATATATATATATATATATATATATATATATATATATATATATATATATATATATATATATAGAGAGAGAGAGAGAGAGAGAGAGAGAGATCAATGGAGCAACAATTCGGTGTGTAATTTGTTTATCTTTTAAATAAGAACTATTCTTGAAGTGTATTAACTTTAGGTAAAAGGATATATTAATGATAAGTATAGATTGTAAGTATAAAACAAATTACTTTAAATAATTTGTTTATATTTATGTATGATATAGTAGAAACTCTGCCTGCAGTCCCTCCGGGGGCTACTGCCAGTCCCAAGCCCGGATAAAGGAGGAGGGTTGGACATGGGGTTAGCGTCCCCATCCCGTAGAAAACTAACTCGCTAAAAAAACGCTAACCAGAAATGATATAACAGAATTATGTATTGTTTTCGTCATAATCTATTCTAACAACGATGAGAGATATTCATTAAATTATCAATTAAGTTGTCTGATTGTACACTCAATATAGTTTTCTCTACAGGAACAGCTGAATTCACGCACTCACATGGGTATGGCGAAACCAAGTGATGTATCTATTATTATATCCTAGTGACGATTAAATTACGAGTAACTTCTGAAAACTATCAATGGGCTAATATTATATATATATCTATGTTCCTACGGTATAACTGTTCAGTAATTAGATTATGTATATCTATATTTCATACACATAGTTCCCTTTATCATTTTGAAAAGAGCAAGAACAAATATTCTAGCAGAATAGCATGAATTCATTTTTATTTCGTTGGTTTTCGTCAGCTGCTTACAACCTGCGATACCCCTACAATCATTCAAGGTGATTAGTAAGCAACCGAACTCCAGTCTTCTGAAGTTTGCTGAAGCAGTTGCTATCAGGCGCCAAAAGCCTGATTTATGTGTTCAAAAGGAGATGGTTATTAATCTTTCCTTGCCTTGGTGATTAATATTTCTTCGTTATATCTTAATAATTTTTTTCTTTTTCTTTAAACTCTTTCTTGCATTTATTACACCATTGAGTTTTATTCCAACTATCTTATTTTATCAACTGAACTCTACTCATTTTATTCCTATCAAGGTTTATTTGTTTCTAACCGTTTGAACTGTTGTCACAATGTTCTTTCATTACATAAGGTATATATTTACAATAATCAATCTATTCAATTTATTTACATCCTTGCTATACTATACGAATATGTCCTAAACATAACTTCCAACCAAACCCTCTCATGTAAGTAATTTAAGCCCATTATGTAATTATGATTTTAAATATCACAGGTTGTAAGCAGCTGACGAGAACCAACGAAATATCTATATTTCTCTTATTATAAGCTTTATTTTGACCTGTATTATTATTATCATTATTATACGATCTACTGTTCATAAGTTATGTTCAGTGAATTGATTACTGTCTCCCACGTTCACAGTCATATTTTGACTTGATCTTGTATAAATGTTATTTCCTATTCTATGGTGTGATGTGCTCTGTTTGGCTGGTATATAAACCAAGTATGTTTGAAACAAATGATTCGCATAATGAGAAGCTGTTATTAGTGTTCTAGACTCAACTGAACAATCTAGGCGAACAAAGAATCATTAAAGACACTAGGCTACTCTATTCATACTGATTGAACGTCATTGGTTTAGCACACTTCTAAGATTGAATAAGTTATATTTGTTTAAATTAAAGCATAAATAAATAGAAAATAAGGACTCGAACCTGAGATATGACAGTTGAAATGTAATCTAACTATTCAAAATATCAATAAATGATGATGTACATATTATGGGATTATTGACTTGATCTGAACGTATACCTTAAAATGAACTAGTATCGTTATACAACTATAAAATTGATTAAAACTAAGTCCTCCTTATTGGCTATTTATTCTTTTTGTAATAATGATAGAAATGCAATCATTCAATATAGCTGATACTAAACATCCAATTCATGATGCGGTATACGATTCATCATCAAATTTTCTACTACATTGTATGACAATTGATGAATGTTTAGATATAGGAAAACCTAATACAATATCATCATCTTTTATACTTGAAGAAGATAATGGAATGCTTACAAGAACAACATCAATTAGTGAAATGATGGAAAATGGTAAGTTATATCAATTCAATGAAGGTTAATCATTGAAATGTAATTCAAACAAGAACATCAAAGATAGTCTTATAGCACGAATCAAATAGTAATAATAATATTATAATAATGAACAAAAAACCATGACAACTGCTTTCATCACATTGACGAAGGTTTCAAACCCATTATTTTTATTAAAATGATGAACCAATATAAGTTAGAAAGTTATTGGGAACTACAAAGCATTAACATCGTTTTGTCTTAGTACGGGACTCATCAAACGTGTGTACCCGTGACCCCATCATAGGCAGTCGATTCGAAGACTCTCGGTCTCGCTCGTGATTTCTCAACTGTCTAGAACACACTAGAGATTCAAGAGTGTACACATTCAACTTCAATAAGTGTGTGTGATATTGCGTGACCATATTCCATTGTCTTTGGTGAGTTCGCTACACGACTGATGCGACTAAACTGCATTGGTTGCAACTTCTAACCAGAACTAGTCACTAGTGATCACATAACAATCGTCAGTATGGGGTTTTGAAGAATGTTAATTTCTATTGGGATCACGAAGTTAGTCAAGTTAGACGATACCGTGAGTTGACTGCAAGTAGACGACTTATATACCAACGGACTCCAACTTAGTGGTATAAAGATGTGATGTCATGTCACACAGAGTCTCCAATCATTTGTTACGATAGTCACGTGGATCCCGACCAAGTGGTCTGCATTTACCAACATGGCTAAGACTAGAAGTTAGTGACTTTAAGCACTGATAATAGGGATAGATATCTCAAAGATGATGATATACTACCCAGATATATAGTATATGATTATCCTGATTATCACTATATTATGTAATTACTTTAAAAATTCGGATCAATGCCATGAATCGAGCATTGAGTTTAATTCCAAAATACTAACCTATTAACACTCATTCTTTGATACATTTCAATTTTAAATCTGTAGAATACATCCATGTATTAATAATCAGATGGCTTATAGTCACCTAAAAGGTACTTTTAGATTGTTAGATGTTATGCCATCAAATCGGTCATAATTATACAAATATATATATATTCACTATCTGCTACGTATCAAATAATTATCGTGCAAAATGTTTACATTCTTCATTATTATAATTTTCTAAATCTTAAACTTAATGTTATTTCATAACCTTACATTATCATTAGTGTGTGGAGATTATGTTTAGTTACACTTCTTTATTATCTTGTTAACCTAAGTCTTTACACAATTATGTTGAAGAATAAATTTGCCCTCAAATGCCCTGGCACGACCAAGGATGGGGACAGTTAACTCTCCCTCTACAAATGCTCTCACATGACCACAGGCATATAACCACTGACATGAAAGTACTACTTATAGCCTTCTCGCGGCAGTACTGTTGTTTACGAAATTGAAAGGATGACAAGCTAATGTCCGATGCTTGAACTAGGTCGGTGGACACGGATGGTCCACCTAGGTGAGTTGGAAAACTCTCATTCCAAAACAACGGTGCACATGGGCTGGCTCCAGGATCCTAAGGAAATAAATGGCATATGAACCAATTATTGGTCATTGGCTACCATGGGACTGTAACTAATAACGTTGCTCCACTGACTTGTGGATCAGACCTTTAAGTCGAAGGCTCCGGGTGTGACTCCTTAAGGAAACCACGTGTTTTGATCTAAGCAGCCGGGTAGTATCACAATCCACACACAAATCAAGTGACTTGTGTGGTGCATATGTATTCGGTGCACCTATGTACCAATATTTATATATTTATAATCATGATGGTGATAGATATAAATCTGAAATCTGATTAACTGAAAAATATTTTTCATATTTGATCTAATAAATCGAAAAAAAAGATAATGATGATGTTGATAATTTAAAAAAAGGTTGTTTAAAACTCTTTTTTCTCTTTCATATTCATAGATACTACCGCCACAACTACTACTACTACTACAACTACTACTACAAATTCTACTTATGAATGTATTCGATTAAAGAAACGTAAAACAGTGAATATTCCTAATTGTGAATTCATTCCAAAACAAATAAATCGGTATAAATTTCATAAACATAGGAAATATGTAAATCAACCATTCAAATTGACAACCAAAACAACAACACAACAGAATACATTAAAACGTCCAGATCCATTTGCATAGTTTCATTCCACTACTTTTTCCCTTTTTTTTTCTTTTTCTTTCTTTTAAAGGAGGAACTAATTTATTACACAAATGTGTATACATTTTCTTAAATAATATTTCTATCTGAGAGATATTCTTAACAAAAAAAGGAGGGGGGAAATGACAATACCACAGTTATTTTATATGTACACATTAAATATAAAGATACAATTCTTGTCATCAACACAATACTGTTTGTTACTTTTTCCTCTATATAGATATACATACTCAAACAAAAAAATTAGTGAGACTATAATTCTATGGATGACCTTTGAACAACACTGAAATGACCTTATGAATGACCATCTAATTACTTCTCTTAAATGAGGTATATAAATCAATGTGAGGAATTAGGAGCTTCAGTTGATGGTTAGGATTAGGAATTGAATTTAGGGTTTTCATTACGAACTAATATTAGCCATAATTCTAAAACGCTATTTAAACAAATGGATGAATGATAAGTAAAGATGGATAGTGGCTAGCATCGGAATCCAGAACGTGTGTTTCGTTCTATTTGGGACTCGTCAGCTGGATGTACCTGCATTCCAGAGTTGATGTTCACTCTGGGACTCGAATCCAGTACCGTTAATTTTTGTGCTGAAATCTAAGATCTATTATCTTAAATCTGATTGGTTCGTTCATAAATTATAGTCTATTAATCCTAAAGGTAATTTGCATATAGACGAGACAGGTTGAACTCTATAGTGTTAAATAATTCAAGTTTTAATTTTTAACGTTATTGGCGAAACTTGGATTATTTAACATCGTAGAGTTCAACCTGTCTTGTCTATATTCAAATTATAAGAAGGGGTTTTGTGGGGATTTTTAGAAATTTCAATGGTTGAAATCATGAGCCAATTGAAGCTAAACCACCATGGGGAACTTGGAAGCACTGGATAGCCGTTTCGTCCTAGCATGGGACTCCTCAGCAGTGCGCGGCCACGATCCCGTCCTCCGCGAGATTCGGACCCAAAACCTATCAGCCTCGCGCGCGAGCGCTTAACCTCTAACCCACTAAGCCGGCATCCAACGGTGTTAATGTCTAACTTCAACGAATTCACGAAATTGCGCCACCATCCACTATTGTCTTAAGTGAATTACTATCTCACAATAGACCTGGTTGGACTCCACTGGTAACGGCTTCTCACTAGAACTCTAGGAAATGCCTCTTGAAGTCAGTCACTAATGAGCAGATGATTATTATCAGAAGTGGTTTTGTGGACGAAACGGCCGTGCTTCCAGGTTTTCCATGGTGGTGATTTCAACTATATTCAAATGATCTTTAGGATCATATTTATGCCAATCTAATAAGTAGCATACTTTGGGAAATAAACCTTGGCGGGTTGGTGTTTGATGAAATATTGGCACTGATAAAAAGTTCAACTAACTTTGGTCAACTTACATCATGTGTGACGTACGTGGGAAGATTATTTACCAACCAAAGGACGAGTATACTGAATAGTAGTTCATCCTATTCTACATTATAGTGTTGGCCTTAAAAATATACTATAATTTTAGGTTACAAGAATCGGATTATAATTGGGTTCAAATTGTTTCTGGAGTATATGGGGACTAATGAATAAGTAACACTGAAGTTATAAGCAAGCAATTAATTAATGAGGCTGTGAATCGTCATCAACTGAATGAGGTGGTTAGGACATGAATTAAGTGTGCTAAATCACTGCTTAACCTGATGGGAAATATCTGCCGGTGTAGAAGTAGTATGAGATAAAGTTAGGAATAGTCAAATCAAGACATAACATCACTCTATAAAGTCATTGATTGATAAGATGACCTATGTACGTAAGTGTAGTAGAATGCCTGTTTAAGGTCTGAGTGATTGCCACGATCACTGGTTAGAGAAATTAACATGGGACAGAATTGGTCACTGTAACATACATGAATCCGTTCATTGTCTATCCTTAGATCCTGAGTTTAAAAATCGCCTTTCACTTTTTATAACTAAGATTCATTCTTTTTTCTTGGACTATATTACTTATGCTAAGTTTTGCTTGAATTACTAACTAATACTACTGATACAAATACTACTTTTTCTACTCTAGCATTTCTCATGAGAATTTCATCTCACTGTACTAATATAGCGTGATAACTTGAATTTATGCATACACGTTAATTTTAACCAACTGATCATATCACGCAGTTTCGTATATAATTTAAATGATATTTCGTCGATTGTGTCTACACTCCATTAACTGCTTTTACACTAGACAAATATCACTCAGGTATTAGTTCAAAATTTGAGGTAAAAAATGTACTAGCTACGACGTAGTGTGCATTTTCAAAAAGGGGTCAGTTGTTAAGAATATTGTAGATAACTTTGATAATTAAGAGAACAAAGTATAAGATACAAGTATTTATAAATAGTTGTCTACGCAAGATACTCAACATTCTTTGGCCGGATACCATCAGTAACAGTCTACTGTTTGAGAGAACAAACCAGCTTCCAGCTAAAGAGAAAATTAGGAAAAGACGATGGAAATGGATAGGACATACATTACGGAAATCACTAAACTGCATCATGAGGCAAGTCCTAACTTGGAATCTTGGAGGGAAGTGGATAGGAGGAAGCCCAAAGAACATATTACGTCGGGAAACAGAAGCAGATATTAAAAGGATGAATAACAAATGGAAAGAGCTGGAAAGGATTGCCCAGGACAGGGTTGGATGAAGAGTGCTAGAGGATGGCCTATACTCCTCCACGAGGACTAACAGACGTAAGTAAGTAAATAAAAGATTTCGACCAATCTCAAAGACGTAAACCACAGAGATGTAAAATAATCATATTCATACAAACATAAATACCTCATTAATAATAAATTAAACATCTACTTGATTACTTACTTGAGAAAACCAACTAATTAGTGAATAATAAAAAGACACTTCATAAACACAATTTGGATCCAAATAGAAATCAATAAATGAAGGAGATTCTTTTAAATAATTTGAAAAGGATATCGATGATATTGGAAGTTGAAAAGATACTTCTGTTTTATCATTTCTATAAAGAAAGAAAAAATATCATTTAAATTGATAATATGAAAAGTAACTATTATATCCTGATGAGCATAATGAATGGTGGTAATAGTTGGGATCTATTTCTGGACTAATACTATACATATATTCTTATTGTATAATTGTTAAGTAACTAAATTATTCATATTCATATTCCTCTTATTATAAGCTTTACTTTGACCCATAGATGATTATTATACGATTTACCATTCCTAAGTTATGCCCAGTCTACCACATTCACAACCACTTTTGGTTAAATCTTGTACAAATGCTGTTTCCTAATTTATGGTACGATGTGGTCTGTCTGGTTAGTATATGAACCTAGTATGATTGAAATACATGATTCATATCGAGAAGGCTGAAATTGGTGTTCTGGTCTCTAACAGGCAGGGCTAGACAGGAAGAAGGACCAATAAGGACTCTAGACTGCTCGTACAGGTTTATGCGTCATTGGTCCGGTCGATAAATCACTGTTTCTCTAATTGGCGGTATCATTATGTTATATATTAATAGATCACAAAGCCACAAGTTATAACAAATATGCTGACGAGAATCAAACAACAATAAACCTAGTTTGGTTAGGGTCTCCTGTTGACTACATTTAGTACACCTCAATCCTGTGGCGCGACCACATAGGTACCAAGCACCGTGGTGGACCATTCACACACTGATTACCGTAAGTCAACCAATCAGAATGAAGATGACACCTCATATATTTCGCGTGAAATTTAAAGTGCAATGATAGATCATGCATATGTTATTATTGACAAAGTGAAAGTTGTCATTATTTGATTCTTAAAATGCTTGAAGTTATTTAGAAGATATATTATCCCACCATAGAGTAAATTTAAGATAGTTCCTTAAACTCAATTACAAAACATATTCGCTTTTAAGGTGGATTGTGCGTACAAGTATTTGATGTGATTCAGTACATAGTTTAATGAAGCTAGACAGTAGTCTTCAATACTAACTTAGTAGTTACTAGCTTAAGAAAGATCGGCTTCTGACTAATCGGCGATCTCATTACGTTCCTATTCAATATATATACATATTTCTTCAAAAAACCTTCAAGGTAACCCGTTTTAATCAACATATTATGAATAAACTCTAGTTCATTGTTTATGATGTCATCCTAGTTCTATTTGAAAGGCGCTCAACCATATTTTGCTGATAACAAATGAATCCAAATCTAAAAACAAATGTTCATATTACCATGTGGTTGAACTTTTTTTTAATATGCCCTTTATCACCAGACTCATCTGCTCCTTTGTTTAAGAAATCATAAAGGAAATATAATTTGTTCTCAAGCTCTTCCTAACAAGTAAATTTAATTGTCAAATGTATACTGATAAATTATTTCAAGAATTCTTATTCATCAATATTCTAAACGACGATAATGAGATTAGTGTTATTTTTGCTTGTACCTTCGAGTTCCGGAGTGAACATCAACTCTAGGATGCAGGTATATCTACATGACGAGTTCTAAACAGGACAAAACGTGCGTCCTGGATTCCACTGCTAGTCACTATCTATTCTTGCTTATAAAGCTTGTGACTTTATCGAAGCAATTCGCACAGGATGCACACAGGTCAATAAGAGACTGATCAATTGCAGTCCTAAACATCAACGGGAAGATACAAGCAAAAACAACACCAAGTGAATTTAAACTTCAACCCATTGCACAAGCAGGTGGCTATCACGACTCAGTAGTTAAGTGGATAACCCGATGGTGTTTGGAGTGAACGGTACTGCGTTCGACTCTCGGAATGAACGCCAACCCTTGGATGCAGGTACATCCAGCTGACGATTCCCAAATAGAACAAAACGCGCGTCGTGAATTTCAGTGCTATCCAGTATCCATATTTGTTTAATAAGATCATTGTTTTCATAAATGAGACAGAACTGTGTCTTTTATCATATTTTAGTTAATATTACAATTTGGTCTAAACAATCTCTACTAAATAGTTCATCTTCCTGTTAAAACAATCAGTATAAATCATTAACAATCAATTCATTATTGAGTAGTATGGATAATGTGTATATCAAGTTTTTTTCTGTTTAGTGCTGATCAAATTCTATCAATCCAGTTGCAATGTGACCATGTCTCTGACTATGAAACTGAGTGACATGAAATTAAATTCATCAGGAAGTAGCAA